AATGAACAACAGTACGTTTAGGCGTACTCCTTCAATCAACTCACCAGAGTACAAAGTACTGAAACGGTAAAGTTGTCTTGTTGGCCAATCAAAATCTTAGCTGATGGTTTAATCGTTTTAACCTTTAGGTTGTTATTGAGAGAATGTCGCTATGTGACCATTGATATTATTTTGTCTAAGGACTGAATAGCACTTACAATGGTAAAAATTGCTAAAATAAATCACCGAGAACATCCTAAATTGCTCCAGTAGAAATATATGGCTACGTATCCAGACATTACGTGAACATATGAATGTGGCTGTTACCTGTCCTTGAACATTTCTCTAACAATGTTATATCTAGTTCACCATTCATGCGATAGTAAAACTGGTCGAGACCGCCATTTTAAGGTCAATCATGATATTAAAGAGAAAAAAAAAACAAATAAAAAAAATATTCAAAAGGAAAAAGTTTGAATTTTGCCAAAAGGACATTCAAAATATGAACAGAAATTATACAATCAACACCTGCTTGTTTACAAACCAATAAAGCACCTGCTTTTGAACGGATAATTTATCGATAAATGAAGGGCCATTTATAAGCAAAAGATAGCTAAACCTATAAAGGAACCGTCTGCTTTTTATTGACAATCACCACCTTTTAAATTAAGCCAATTTCAAGTTATGCTGCGTTTCTTAAGTGAACATATATGAGCATCGAAGAAGCCGAATACCGCATATACATGAGATTGACAGAAACACAAGTCATCATGGCAAGTTTTGGAAGCAGGAATATTACCATGGAGGAACGGAAATACCATCGCATAGGTATCCATGTGACCATGCATATTATAATTAAAAAGAGTTAAATGGTTCTTGTAGGCTACTATATAATCAAAAATTGGAATTGACAGTAAGTCTATATATGTATCCAGATAAACGCCACAAATGCATATTAGACTATAACAAATAAAACTGAAATTAATGAACAAGGTCATTATCAGATGTACTTTGCTCTTGAAAAAAATAGATCAATAAATTTCATAAGAGAACATAAGTAAGACGTCAAACAGCGTGAGACAAACGCTGAGATTAAACAAAAGCCATATTGCGGATGTCGCCGAAGAAGCAGAAGATGCCTACATTGCCGGAACACTTTCTCTTTTTTGTGAACATATGAACACTGTAGATAAAGGAAACTGCAATGCTATCGTCAAGAAATGGAAAATTCACGATAACGATCTCAATAAAACGCTTATTATAAAGATGTATAGAAAGGTGCGACTGTTCATTTCATTGTAGGATGAGATCAGAGAGTGTGTTTATTAGCTCAGACGCAACAAAAATCTGTTAACGGGAAGTTGAATATTTGTATTTATTATAATTGTATTCTAAATATATTCACTGTAATTATAGTCTTATTTTTTAACATATATATCCTTGTGTTGTTTCTTCGCATATTAAAAATATTGAAGATAATTATATTTTCGAGATTTAAGACTTGTTTAATTATTCGAAACTCAAATCTCATGCTGGATGGAGGTTAACTGATGCTAAAGGTTGAAAGTCTTCTGTAATCTTAGGAAAACCAAACGATTCGAAAATTTATCGCTCAAATCATTGCCGTCTTATTGTATTAACAAGCATCATCTGGTTTCATTTGCCACAATATTTTGTAATGTTAAAAGTCTCTAATACACAGCTGAAAATAGAACAACGACCGACAATCTTCTCGCAATATTGGAGAGTTCACGACAGACTTGTGCCGTAGATCATCAACTGCTGCTCGTCCTGACAGCAAGTAATGTGATTCGGACAGGCCAAACAAATATGTCAGACTACTGTGGATACACGTAACATGGTATCATTTCAAGCACGTCATTTACCAACTGTCTCCCTGTAAAGGATATCTTGTTTTTCTTTGACAAGTTTGCCCTCGTTTTATCGTGGTTAGTTTTAATTAAGATTTCGTTGACATTGGTATACCATTTTGGAAGTGTTCGATGCTCCTTAGTCTGCTTGTTGCTTTTATTGTTATGCTGTTTATTCTCTTTCGGGAACGTGAAATTACTTACTTGGATTGACCAAAATTTGCTTGATTGGTATCATCGTTGATGCAGAAGACGCCTACCTTACTCTTTCGGAACACCTGGTCTTCTTCTCCGTGTATATTTTCAGAAGAGTTTATAATATTTTTTTGATCATATCTTATCCTATTTTTATTGAATATGAGTTTGGACCATGATTCTGTTGACAAGTGTATAAATTGTTTTCATCAATATGGCGATTTGCTGTTTCGTACACTTTTTGTAATGTGTTGTTGACCTTTTTTGTAGTTATCGATACATTTATGACAAGATTGTATTAAAATCTATGAATAGCATCTAAAGAATTTAATTATCTCTTAACGAGGATATCTAATCGGAAACTGTGTAGAAATAGATAAATACACATTAACAATAAGGAGATATTGTGGTATATAATAAATATCGCACTTTAATGTTCCAAGGCTAGACTTATTTGAGTAGTGACTTGGCTAATGATATATACATTACGTATTTAAAGTTCTCTCGAAATGATCCGATTTATAAAAATTATGACATGTTTCAATGGTTGCGCTGGTGCAACTCGATCTAGTTTTTGACGTGACAATTTTCCCCAAAGAACCCTTTTAACTTTCAACATATCAGCCTTTTACCATCACTGGTAAGTCTTAGAAGGACGAAACAGCTGTAAAATGAAGTTTTGTTTGGTTATATGGTATCTTATTCTAAACTTACATAGAAAGGTGTTGTTCTCTGTTACGTCTTTTGACAAGTTATAACAAGCTGTAACATACCTTCCTAACAGATCAATAATCTTGAATTCAGATACAGTTAGATACTCATATCCATGCTTACAAGAGATGGAGATGACTCATAAGAGATATTTACATGCTATCAGGTTAAACTTAACGTATATTTTTTACCATTACAAATCATTAGACAGGGTCGAATTTCAAGTAACTGTAGTCTTAAATATTTCTTCATAAACTGAAAGATAAATTCACAATAAAAAGCTCCCTGAGGTGCCGATGGATGAAAATTATGGGGAACCTGGTGGTTCCGTTGTTGTTTAACCTTGTTCTCATTAGAGAACTCGACATTACTTGCTTTTATTGACCAAGATCTACATGGTGGGTGTCGTCGCTGAAACAGAAGATGCTTACTCTTCCAGAACATCTGGTCTTATTCTTGTACTTTTCGATATATTTTTTCTTTTGTTCATAGAAGTATTTTACCCTAGTTTCATCTACATTGAATTTGAATTAAGATTCTGCTGATATATTACAACTTTCCTCAGTCATCTTTAAAGATATTATTAATATTAATTATTAATGTACATTCATGGACGAGAGTCGAAATCCGTAAGGATAACGTAAGTAGATAACTGTCAAGATAGGCTCTTTCTTCATACACTAAATCTAGTGCATTGTAAATTTTGTGTTCAAAATACTAAGCGAAAATATCCGGTAGTGATGTTAAATACCAAAATTTAAAACGTTCATGTGGCGTCTTGGGTAGATATAAAAACTCATAATGATTCGACGACGTTAAGTTTGTTTGTTTGTTCGTTTGTTTGTTTGTTTGTTTGTCTGTGTGTGTGGTTTTTTTTTTTTTTTTTTTTTTTGACGATTTTTGTGATCTATTGAAGTGCATATTTACACAATGTTTTTACGCCTTCCTTCAGTAAAGAAGCAGACTTTATTTGTCATGGTATCGCCTCGTGTACAGCTATGACATTTAAAGATATACAAATGTTTCTATTTTCTACCGTTACATAATATATCTTACTCTATATAACACATAAGAGAAATGAAGAAAACTATCAACAGTAGTTATGACATTTCCTCGGAAACAGTCAGTCATTGTGAAAGCCTAATGACTGCAGATAGACGACTGATGATTGCTTTGATGATACGTATGAGTATCAAACGATGTTTTATCTAATTTCTACAATATGGTTCAATAGACATAACCGTACATATATTCTCCTCTGCCGCACAAAACACAAATCACGGCACAAGATGTTACCCAGAAATCTCATTACCAAAATGCTCCGTGGGGGGACCTACAGAGATTGCTTGTAAAGGCAAGCGATTCGTTCAAGGAAATATCAGATTATATTTTCGTAATCCATAAACCCTTGAGAATATATCTGAAACTATCCATTTATTCGTTATTTAGCCCAGGAACTGCATTGATAGAATACGTTAGGAAGAAAGGACACACAGACATAATCGAGAGCTTGGATTTGAGTGGCAAACTATGACTACACTGGTACGTCGTTCTCTGTTCAAAGGGCGATAACTCTTATTGTTTATGATTTTCATTACCTTTTAATAAAATAAATAAAAGGCCACCCGGTTGTGAACAAAATTTCCCCGTACAATTCAATTTTACTATAAAATGTAACTTGCGTGGAATTGTTAGCTACTCAATTTTTTAGAAGGATGGTGGCGGTATTTTTCATCTCTTTGTCGTATTTCATATAGAAATAGTTCGGTTAATACATCAGAAGTCAAACTAGATATGAAACATTCACGGATTGAGGCAAATATATGACGCATATTGAGGCTGGAATGACTTTACAAGTTTCTGACAAAACGCTACATTTCTTACTGAAGTGAAGGTTACCATTTAATTCAATTACATCCTGGCAACCATTTTACATCCATGTTTTATTATATATAAACCAGTTAAATAGACAGATTTTCCGAACTGCACTTAAATACCGATACACAATCTCATGCTTTCTATCAGGAACATAATCCAATGCTGTAAATACGTTAAGATAAAACTCTAGTAATAGTATGCTGTTAATGTCATTGGAAATTAAAAATCACATGTTTTCCTTACATGGGTAAAGGAACAAAAGATATATAATTAATGAGATTCGTTCAGAAGGGCAACTCCTTACATAGATTCCAGTGTGTTCACTTTTCACAAGCAGGTCGTCGTGCCCAAGTCAAGTTCAGTATTATGAATGGATTTCGATATCCGTTGACACTCGAGCAAACCAAATCTTCTGCTCTCATAAGTTTGAAACGATATCATCGTTTTATGAAAATTTTATAAATATTTTGTCAATGCGAGTTATGTCCATTTCTGTACTTCTCGATCGGATACAAACTCTCCATTTGGTGACGTCACGTTAGAAGGAAGGAGAGCTAGATAAAGAGGCGTGTCTGCACCTAAAACATATGAGATATGTATCTATAAATCTTTACCGTAATGTTTAATCAAATACTCACTATTTTATAGAAATTAGTTTTAGCACATGCGGTTATGTAGTTTCAACATTTGCACTGGAGTAAGAAAAGGGCTAAAACTGCATCAGAAGATATTGTCCATACACCATGTTCTGACATATAAATAGTATCATTATAATCGAGATGTTGATCAGTGCCATTCCCTGTTATTACAGATTATTTCAGTCGAAAAAGAACACTGTACCTTGCTCGGGGGTCTTTTTGCCTTGGCCTGACGTGAGATCCGTTTGGACATATCCGGGACAACACTGCAAACGTCATGAAAGTCTTGATAAGTTATAGCTTAATCAAAATGATATCTGATGAAACACTTCAAACAGTCACGACAGCATTATATATCATATCTTTGTTAAAGTTATATCCGGGACAACACTGAAAAAGTCATAACTGTCTTTATATATCATATCTTCGTTAAAGTTATATCCGGGACAACACTGAAAAAACCATAACTGACTTTATATATCATATCTTCGTTAAAGTTATATCCGGGACAACACTGAAAAAGTCATAATTGTCTTTATATATCATATCTTCGTTAAAGTTATATCCGGGACAACACTGAAAAAACCATAACTGACTTTATATATCATATTTTCGTCAGCGATATATCCGGGACAACACTGAAAAAACCATAACAATCTTTATATATCATATCTCCGTCAAACCAGATATCAGAAGTTTTTAAAATCCAGTTTGTAATGAAGTGAACGACATTGTTTGCAAGTATAGTTAAGATAGAAAGGATAAAATTTTGATTTCAACAACTGTTTCAAAGGCAAACATTTTTTTGTACAGTGTACAAGGAATACTTACACTATTGATAACAATACCCGGTCGACCGTCCTGACTAAGGGCACGGTGTTGTATGAAGGTCAACACAGTCATTCCTATTTTAGAAACACCGTATGCCATGTCAGCCCATCCTTGTTTTACGTGATCACCTGTTTGTGCTGCGCTGTAATTAACCAGACAATAGTTAACCAATATCTATAATAAACAAACAGTTTCAGAATCTATTTTGAACTTGACGTGGTGAAGGAGGAGTGTCAGGGAACCTTCATGTGACTATATTATGAATACATAATCAGCGACTGCTGTTTAAATACGTTACATGGTGGGTGCTTACTCTTCCGGCACACATGGTCTTATTTTCCTTGTACACGTTTAAGACTCTGCGTGTAAATCTTTCTTTTGTTCACATTTTGCCCTAATTTTATTTTATTTGAATTTTGATTCTGTTGATATATTGGTAATGCCTGTCTTTGAACTTCTGTCCCTACTAACTTCCATAAGTGTCATAAAAAGTAAGTTTGATGCTGAAATTTTACTGTGTACGATGTCTACCTATCATCCGGCCCTGATCATTTCTACATTCTGTATGTCGTCACTCACTTGATGAACTCCTGTACTAGAGATTTCAGTTGTGCTGTAGTAATGGTGCTGTCCTTAAACCTGGCCTGTATGTCCGAACTACACTTGACGATTGACCACTGGGCAGCCATACTCGACATATTAACAACTCTGGTCAGAGAAGAAAAAACAAAAACATTGTGACTAAATATCTCAAAATTAATACACACTGAAACTTGTGGTAGACGCGGAGGAGAACAGTTATGAATATTTCAAAAGATATTGAAAATCAGTGTACATTATTCAGATATATATGAACAAAACTTTGATTTACATACATCTGTTTCATCTTGTTTTAATTTGACAATTTCATTACCTGGCGTGCGGGCGGAGGAGAGGAAACAGAGCATCACACACGTCCACTTGGGAGAAGAAATTTACCCCACATGTAACGCGGGCCTGTTCCGAAAATGGCGATTCCGTGTCTTTCTGTACACAAATGCTGTTACTTATAAGGTTGACAAAACAGATATTCCAGACAAGCAACAGTAATGAAGAGACAACTGCGTAATAATTGTTTACTAATATAGAAAAATATGTCCGTGTTTATCAGGCTAGACCTTTGAGAGATGTGAAATAATTTATAACTGGTACATAAAAATGCCAACCTTAAATGCCATTCCGGCGTTGTTGACAAGAACATCGATTCCACCATAGTGTGCCTGTAAGTGGTCCCTCAGCCTGGTAATACTGGCGGGGTCGGTGATATCGAGCTGGTGGAACTTTGGGTTAAGACCTTCCTCCCTCAGACTCTGGACAGCCTTCAAACCGAGGTCCTCGTTTCTTGCTACAAGGATATTTTTTCTGAATAATACCACTCAAACGAATTGATTTTCACTTCGGTTAAGACGCCCTCGAATTAGATATAACAAATCTAAAAAAATCGCATTTACAGTATACTGTCCTTATAAATATGTGATGTTTGAAAGTAAAAAAGCGAAAATTGAAAAGCTAACCTCTTGTTGACTTAGTGTAGTAATTGTTTTGTTTGACGTGTATAGATATCAGACATTTTTGAGGTATATCTCAGGAATAAGGCAAATTATATCCTGGGTTATTGCGGTACACAGGTCATTGAGTGTTTGTAAGCCACACATGTTACCTGACAGGTATTTCTAACACAGGCACCTGACTTATCTTATCTACCTCCGACACAGGCCTCAGTCTTACTTCAACAAGGATCTTACCTGTCAGTCACACGTCCCCATTTAATCTCCGACACAGGCCCCAGTATTACTTCAACAAGGATCTTACCTGTCAGTCACACGTCCCCATTAAATCTCTGACACATGTCCCAGTCTTACTTCAACAGGGATCTTACCTGTCAGTCACACGTCCCCATTTAATCTCTTGACACAGGTCCCAGTCTTACTTCAACAGGGATCTTACCTGTCAGTCACACGTCCCCATTTAATCTCTGACACAGGCCCCAGTTTTTCTTCATTAAAGCTCTTACCTGTCAGTCACACGTCCCCATTTAATCTCTGACAAAGGCCCCAGTTTTTCTTCATTAAGGATCTTACCTGTCATTCACTCGTCCCCCCTTAATCTCCGACACAGGCCCCAGTCTTACTTCAACAAAGATCTTACCTGTCAAGTACACGTCCCCATTAAATCTCTGACACAGGCCCTTGACTATCTGCAGGCCAATGCCTTTATTTGATCCCGTCACCTACGCAATCATTAAGAAATGACGTTAAATCAGATTAAAGGCATGCCTACAACACAACGTGTAACACAGTCACTTTCTCTCAACGTTAATGTAATATCAAACAATAGTATACCATACATAAATACAATCGACACAAAATACTTTAGCTGTCGTAGTACAACTTAAGCTATAGGGGATTAAGTTCATGTGAACTTAAAGCGAGTGCTAACCCGAATATAGTATGATTACCTTCAAAATGGAACGGTGACAACAAAGAAAATATCGACATGATTTACTTAATCAAAATGAAATCCGGTAAAACTATTTAAATTCATGAACAACTGAAGATTAGCACAGAGCCTCTTCAAAATGTATAAGGATAGCAAGACCAGGTGTTCAGGAACGGTAAGCGTTTTCACCTGCCATGTAAATCGTGGTCAATAATGTCACGTTCTAAATGAGAACAAGGCAAACAACAACGGAACCACCAGGCATAATGAGTAGTCATATGAGCGAATAGGCTATATTGATTATAAAAAACCTGTATTTCTTTACTTAAATGACAGCAAATACCTGCGGTTAATTTCTCTAAACCAAATCTCACACACACAAACAAAATATGATGGTATTATAGTAGTCCGTGAGATAAACTAGTTTTGATATCATGAATCGATACGCACAAAGATGTATCATCGTAGTTAACGTTCTTGATTTATAAATTACATATACGAACACAGACACTGACATACCTTTAAATGGCACGATAATATAGAATAAATATTTAATCTTACCACTGCAACTGCTTTCGTTGTTGTCATCGTGTTGAAGAAATGGTCAACAATGTAACTTTCCTTGATTATAGTAAAATAACGCGAGGGAGAGTTCTAGTTATATATCTCAGCAGCACTCCTGTACAGGGGATTCGTAGAATTATAACTCACTGTTTATACATACATACAGGATGTTACACTGCGGCTTGCGTACACGCATATTTATCGTTACTGTGTAAACAATGACGAGAAAAGTGGAGTCATTCATCCTGGTGTAACTACAGTATCCTGTCTTTATTGCTGATTTTCCCTTTCAGGCAATCGATACAATCGATTGTTTTAAATAGAATTTTATTTGGTATTAGGATAATTAATTGTGTGTAGACACTGATATTATATCATACATTGTGATGATATGAAGTACATAATGCATATATAATATCATGTACGTGTTATATTTTAAGTATAGGTCAACAACTATGTTATAAAGATTTTGTTTTTTGTTTTTCCAGCTTTTGGATTACTAGTTATTTTATGAGTTAATTGGGGTCAAGGCCGAGCCTTCCTTTAAATCAGCGACCATCTGTATTTCCGTTGATCTACAATTACTAACTAAATAGTTGCTATCATGATATCATGAACGCAAAAATCCATATAAAGTTTTGATATCGCAATTTTCATATGTACTTTGTACCATGATAAGTAATTACTGAACAATCCACTTTATCGTATATTAAATCTATATTTGAAGTTCATAAATCCTAATCATAGAATAAGACAGCATATCAATGACGTGACTGCTACGAAATGGGTTTTCATTCGGCGATATATATCTTGAAGGATATACAGCATTATAACATGGCAGGCTATGTGTAGCGGTCTGTAACATCACGTTGTCGAGTGTAGAAATTCCGTATTATACCTCAAAATAAAATTTTGTCGAGATAACAAAAACTCGAAGAAGACATATTTCGTGCCCAAGATGACATCATTGATACCTGTCGTGTTTATTAAATCACTGACATTAATATGTAAAGACTGCTTACTTAAGAAATATACATATTACTTTTTACACGTCGTCTATTGAAACTAATGTGATTACATCTAGCGCTTGATTTGTAACTAAAAGACTTGTTCCTAATTTCACGATTTTCGGTCAAGATGTCGACAACTGACTAATAAACTCGAATTTAGAGAAGTGCACGTCGATGAAATTGGACGTGCTCGATGCTCGTGAATATGCCTTATGTGATATAAAGTTGAACGAGCTCAATGCTCATTAGTATGACTTATGTGATATAAAGTTGAACGAGCTCAATGCTCATTAGTATGCCTTTTGCGTCCATTGTTGTTCAAACTGTTAGCATTGGGGATCGCGGTATTACTCACTATGATTGACCAAGATTTACAAGACAGGTGTCGTCGATGAAGCAAAAGACGCTCATCCTTCTGGATCACATTGTCTTATTCTTCTTGTGTTTATCTTTTAAGTCTTTGTTTTGGTCATATGTTACCGCAGAGCTATCGACGTTGAGTTTCTTTGACATTTCGATATCTACACGTTGCCTTGTTCTATATTATGAAATAAAAGTTAATCAATGAAAGAAAACAATTATTCCACGATGTATGTTATCATCCTACGCAATATAGAGAGTCGTCTGGTGTGAATAATCCAGTAGAAATCTTAATCTTGTAAATTCAAGTAGGTCATCAGCTAACAAAATTACTGATCAATAATTATAACCACGTTGCGTAACTTAATCAACTAGGTTAATATTTTCATTACGAGGCGAAATAAAATATCATTACAAACATCTCATTGTTATGTTATAAATGTTTGGATAAAAACAGGTAAAGCTACCGAATGATATCATTAATGACATGAACTGGTGACATTAGGAATAAGATCAACACCTGTTCTATCCTACTCCTATTTAGGGGATATTAACTGGGGACATTAGAAATAAGATCAACACCTGTTCTATCCAACTCCTATTTAGGGGATATTAACTGGGGACATTAGAAATAAGATCAACACCTGTTCTATCCTACTCCTATTTAGGGGATATTAACTGGGGACATTAGGAATAAGATCGACACCTTTTATATCCTACTCCTATTTAGGGGATATTAACTGGGGACATTAGGAATAAGATCGACACCTTTTATATCCTACTCCTATTTAGGGGATATTAACTGGGGACATTAGAAATAAGATCAACACCTGTTCTATCCTACTCCTATTTAGGGGATATTAACTGGGGACATTAGGAATAAGATCAACACCTGTTCTATCCTACTCCTATTTAGGGGATATTAACTGGGGACATCAGGAATAAGATCAACACCTGTTATATCCTATTGATATGTCACGATCGACACGCCCTGTGAAATCCAGAGGTTTTATTTAATGTCATATAATTAGTTAATATTAAGTAGATTTAAAGGGATCTTTTGCTCCTCCTACGAATCTTTGTTTTCTTTTGTGATTGTCCCAATAATCATGTACTCTAGAAGATTCGATACAATCCCCAACCTCGAATCATCGTCTTTTCTAACCAACTGTTCGAGTTAGCTCCCTTCTTACATTACTCATTATTATACATGTATTGCGTACCATCGTTACTACAAACTCCATCTGTTCAGTTACCTCTCTATACTTTCCAATTGTTTTACTGTCAGTATCTAACTAAATCAGTACTACGTATCCTATAACCATACAACTTTTGACTTTGCCTTTGATTTACATCAACCTCAGAATTAATTTACTGCAGTGTGATTTTCGCATGCTATGGAAGCAGTACACAGATTCTCGGTGTATGAAGGTTTTAATCAAAATTAAGAAAAAAAAATCTTTGCTATAAATTGGTCTTGTCTTGCTGAAGTGGACAATTTCGGGTTTCATTTTTTCAGAATAATATTTTAGCTTTGTGTTGGAGATTACTATTTGGGCGATCTCGAACCTTTGTCTACGCACCAAAAACTAGCTTTACAGGAAGTGAAGTTTTCAAAGTGTTTATACTTGGTCACGCTGTGAAGGATTTCCGAGTTGGAATTTGCTAAAATGTAAGTAGTTTGTTACCATTGCTGTGTTGTTGATGTTAAGACAGGTATTCAGAAATCAATTTCTTCCTTAAAGCTGTAGCCGTAGGTTGGAATTAGCAATATTTTTTGCATTGTTAGCATTTTGAGTTGGTAGCCGTGGCAATCACATTTCAGAAATCAGAGGAAACTTTTGATTTCCACAGATTTTATCTCTCTACTTTTATTGTAATTGTTATGTAGTTTATAAATATATAGACATGTAAGTATGTATTTTTCATAACTAAACTGTTATACCTGTATATCTTAAAAAATTATCAATGATTTCAGGAAAAATGCAAATTAACTGCTTCTTGCTACCTATATTTGATTTTGCTTTGTTGAAATTATCGCCCTTTGTTCACAGCCATGGACATTATGAAGCTTGATATCCTTGTGGTGGCTGCCTCACTTAATAACATATGAAAACATAAATAAATATATTATATATATATATATAAATCTTTCTGAGCGATTAGAATTGTGTCTTGACTATAAGGACACAACCGCGCCAGCACAGACTGGTCTGTTCATCGGCTACCTGGGAAATAAAAAAAAAAAAGCAGAAAAAACTTAATGTTGTGTCATGTAAATGTAGGTATATATCAGAATGAATATTTTAAGAGTTAAAAATCTATTAAATACCTCACTACATCTTAAATAAATACGACCCGTAGGCAGAGACATAAACCTTGGAATAATGCCAATTCCCTGTCTTTGTTCCACTGCGAATATAATATTTGCTAACAGACACGAAGTACTCCATGTCAGGACACAGAATTACCTGATTTATGCTTAATGAAAATGGGGTTGGTGATTTTTTTTCACTTTCGTATGTAGTCTATGATAATAATTTCATATATGAAATAATGGGTACTAGTGTTAGGCATTGAATTGTAGACAAAACCTACATGCGTCATTCAGGCGACAATTTATAGTTTTCTATTTTGTCTGTTTGTTGTATTATACTTCTGAGTATTTCCTTCCTGTGTACAGGCGTAAGAATAGAAAGTAATGTCCCATGACTAGTCTGAGGTAACAATGAATGGAGTAAGATTGTAAGATTTATGACAGGTACCAGCTACTCGTACGTCCCTGGTACACCACTACGTTATGCACGGCTATTCAAACGCGACCTTGTTCCAATTTGTGTATTGTAGTCAACAGCAGTCGTATAGACCGGTTAAAACAAAACAAAACAATACGTCTGTTATTAATTGTGCATTCATCACCGAATAGCTGTAATCCAGGAAGTAATAATCGTTTGGCTAAGCACGAGCCACTCCTAACTCCTGACTCCTTCCTGGTCTGTTCATTTCTGTTGGAGGCGTGAAAATGCGATCATGGACGTATATTCAGCTTCTGTCTGGACTTGCATGTCTAGCAGGTAGGGATGAATTCACTTCTTCCGTCTAAGTAGCATTTATTTTAACGGGTTCGAAACAAGTAAGTTGGTTATTACCCAGTTTATATGATTGAATTCGTCATTCATGGCTGAATTGCCTTTCCCGATGTCTCTTAAGATTCCTTTGTTCCCAAGAATGCCATTCGATTTACACGGATCTCGTTGTGATTTGCAATACCAATTTATGCGAGAGACTGTCGGGGCCATTTTGGAAAAAAATATATTTATATATTTCTCCTTAAACGCGATAAATTTCTCTTTAAAACGTTTTAGGTATTTCGTTAAAACGAGTTTACAACCATATTCGTCGTTTTAACATTATGCTTATCTCGTTTTAACGTATTTGTTATATATACAGTCGAACCTCGTTATCTCGATCTCGTCGGGACCACGGGGAAACCTTGAGATAAGCGACTATTCCATTTAAGTGAGCTCAAATATTTTGTGTAGAGTTATGCAGGAACCGACGAAATGCTTCGAGTCAAATGGGATATTCGAGTTATACGAGTTCGAGATAACGAGGGGTGACTCTTTAATAGGTAAAGCTAGTTGATATAAAATTGTCGGGTTAAAACGAAAAAAACTCGCATGTTTTAACTACATATACACATATATATCTATTTTCAAATTTAAATTCTCATATACTAAGAAAGAATGTGCATTAATACAGCCGACCAAATTCACCATGACCGAATTCAGGAAGTGAATTTTTTTTTTGAAAAATTGCCAAATCAACGCGTGTGTTACGCCTGTTTTATTTATAAATTGACCTATTCTTAATGTCTCTGTAAGAAAACACAAATAATAGTGATAAAGGAAGTTAAATAATTTTCTCTACTTTTAAACATTAGCAATCTATTTGTGATTGATCAGTCGGCGAGATATCAAATGTAAAAAAAAATGTAATAGATGTTTGATGACGGAAGGGAAAACAAGTAACATTAACTATCATTGTATGTGTAATAAAATGTCGAAGTATTTCATTTAGATATGGTTACTTAAGAATTACTTTAGGTAATAATACTGCAAATAACAGTACGCACAACCGGGAAATGTTACATCCGCGACTAAACGAAAACTGAAAAAAAATTCATAATTATTTTTTCCTTAACTTATAATAAATGTTTTGGTCATGTTTCAGGTGCGGAATATTACGTATTGATGGCAGGTGAAAAGGGCAATAAGGGAAATATAGAAATTTATAATGGCACAACCTGGTTTGACCTATGTCCGGACGGATGGGATGACTCTGACGCGTCAGTCATGTGTCGTATGCTGGGATACTCAGGGTAAGAGAAAGTTTGATATATATATATATATTTATCATTGTTGGTCAGTTATACGTCACATTGTCAAGATAGAGTTTTATACAATAATTTAACTGTAGGTCAGTTAAATGGTTCATATAGTAAGATGAATTTAAAATTACCGTTCTTTTTTAATCAGTTATATGGTACACAGACTACTAGGAAGTTTAATATACAATAGTTCAACTGTAGATCAGGGTCAGTAGTTACGGAATACACCATAGTTTAAATGTTTATCAGTTACAGGTACACAGAATATGAGAAATTTTTCATATACGGTAGTCTAACTATCAATCAGAAATAATATACACAAAATATACAAGGTCAGAGGAAATTTATAGACAAGAGTTTAATTGTTGATCAGTTTTTGGGTTCACAGGGTTAGAGGAGAGGGAATTTATATACAATAGTTTAAATGTTGGTCAGTTATAGGGTCCGCAGGGTATGAGGAAGTTAAATATACAATTGTTGAAATATTGGTCAGTTAAAGAATAAACACGGTGAGAAATTTTAATATGCAATAGTTTAAATGTTGGTCAGTTATGAAGAACACAACTTAAGAGGAAATGCCAAATACGGCACTATCGGTCTATCATAATCTTTTGGCTAGACATTTGGAGCATGTCCTAAATACCTCTGCATAATATACACAAAGCATTGTCATCTTTACAAAAGTTTATTGCTCAAAGAAATAAAAAGATTATTAGTAAATACTGCACATAAATGACACTATTATGGCATAAAGCAATGCATGTTTCTGAAGTAAACAGATTTTGTTTCGTTAACGGTGTAAAGAATGTAAAAGATTAATAACTTGAGGTTTTGCCTTAAAGTGAATAAAACAGTACATTGTTATCCTTTGTCCATCTGGGGCAAAACTGGAAACCCAGGAGGAGGATAAGGAAAGTAAAATCTTAAATGAATAACGCAAATTAACTGAAGATTAATTTCTATCAAGCAGGTTTTCTTGAATATCATTAAAACACATATGATTTCTTGAAGTCTTGTAGGATGCCTTAGAATTCTTATAAACAATTTTCAGAAAACAACTCTAAATCAGACCTTTTTGAGGAGTTTCGGTTAAAAATTCAACTTTGCGTACTAAAACTTTTTGTAATAGGAAAAAGGAAACCAAATTTGAGACAAAATGTAGGAAGCATTTGCTGATCTGACACGGATTAAAGATATATATTATAACATGACATTTCTGTACCTTTTGATTTTCGACGAATGAATTCTCACTTTCCAGTGACAGTGCTAACGCTAGCGTTAATAATGACAATGTAACGGTTTCTTCCCTGGGACAAGACAAATTTGATTGTGATGGTAGCGAAACATCTCTTGACGATTGCCCAACAAGTAGTAATAATGCCACTGCTTGTGAAAATACTACTCGTTCGCACCTATCATGTGCTGAGGGTGAGTGCATTCTGTAAATATTATCATAACACATTGTCATGTAAGCTGCGCTTATAGATTTAACATTTAGACAACTCTCTGTTGATCGTTAAAGCGATATTTTGCATGCGTTGACTAGTGTCTAGATGCAGCCAAGCGATCCCAATGTTTAACTGCTCACTTGCCTTATTTTTGAAATGCGATTTAAATGTGGAAATGTTTGTAAAGCATCTAGACGTAATGATACATGTTATGTATTTTGCAGAAAAGTAAACAAAAGCATCCATTCAATCATTTGTTCTCTGAACTATCAGCGTTGTCATTGACGCCCAAGTCGCCCTAGGTAAAGCTCCCCTTCAAAAGGACTGTTAAGTTGCTGTTCTACAATACATCTGATTAAAATATTCATATTTAATTATTAGTATTATTCGTTCTTTGTATCTGTATTGAACTGTATTAGGATTGCTTTAAATACAACTCGATCAAAAACAATCCTTAATTATAATTACAGTTCCTGAGCCTAATGATTTCTTCCTTATGTCGTTTGGATCTGTGATCACAAAAATGAATCGAGCGACTGGTAGTCTGTCCATGGTGCAAGCTGGAACAATCTCACATGTCGTTGTTATTACTTATGACCATGCACAAAACGACATCATTTGGACGGACAATGTTTTGAGACAGATAGCGAAGTGTGATCTCAATGGAGGGAATATAACCGTAATTTTCCAGACTGGAAACGGTAAGGTTTAAACTGATGGTAGACATTACTATAAAGCCAACTTAGCCTTGTCACTCGACAAACGACACACTAGACAAAAACACCTTTCAATACAAGGTTTGATATAATACAACCAAATAGATTAATTTGAATATTAAACTGTCCATTTAGGATTTGTCTATGACAATAGAGGCATGGATTTTGATCTATATGAGACGCCACAGTATACAAAGGGAGGTGAATCTTATACAAGACTATTAAGCTAAGGTTTAAACAATTTCATAGTATACTCTTTTCGTTCTCTTTTCTTTCTGAAACAGTTAACGTATACATTTTATATATACGACTATATATACATGTATGTAACTCGCAATATCCTAATAATTAAATGAATTTTAAAAGATCAGATGGTTTTTAAGAACGTCCGATAGCTTTGTGTATTCATTACCGTTTCATTATTCAAATTAATTTAAACACGGGATGCCGGCGAGGGAAAACCTCAGGTACTCAAGTACACGAGCAGCATCTACCACCTGCATTTTCACAGGCTTGTGAAGAAAACGCAAAACAGAATAGTACCTTAATTAACAATGAATTTCTCCCATTTAATGGAATCATACCGTACATTAAAGATTAAAATTTATCTCTCAATGTATGTGATTCCTGTGATTTATTTTCCATTCCAGATAGTGTCATGGACGGCATTGCTATTGATGTAGAATCTCGACTGATCTTTTACACTGACACAGGATATGATGAAATCGGAGTAATCAATGCCGACACATATGACAGAACCGTTTTGATCAATACCGATCTGGATGAGCCAAGAGCCATTGTTTTGGATACCACGACAAGGTGATGAAACTTACACTAAGTCCATGTTATAAACGTCTGTTTAAAGTAGCCATTCGCATTTTATTATCTTTAGGTTATAGAAATAATCATGAATTTTGTATTGTTAGTACATGTATATAAATGGAAAATTGTTTAATGATTTCACGGTGTGGATTGTACAAAAGACACACAAGTAAATAGCATCATTTCATAAATAAGAGTGAGATACAAAAGTGCCAAACAACGAATTTAACTGCATCATGCAGCTGTTTGGTCCTTCTAGGTTTCGTCAGTGATGCTAAGGGCCTAAGATTTTAAATGGATGTTAGTTCTATCTTTTGTTTGTTATGTTTTTTCACAGAGAAATTTTCTGGACGGATTGGGGAACTAATGCATCAATTGTAAAAGCAAATTATGACGGTTCTGGTAGAACTAGTATTGTCAGTACGGGACTTGGCTGGCCAAATGCTATGGTGCTCGATGGTAAGTCATTGTATGTTAGCAGTGTATGTATTTTTATTTATTTATTTACAGTTTTTTCACAGATGTTTTCTTGTTTTCAGTAACACAAATATAATTGGTTTGATACATAATTAGAAAATCAAATAAGAAGAAGGGAAAATTGTTACCCCTTGTTAAGAGTGAAATAATGACACCAAGTGAGTGGCGAGTTTAATTAGAGTTCCGGCTCATCGTACAATTTTAGGGTGTCTGATATTAGCCAGTACCGTGTCATATAAATTTCATACTGTCAGGACACTGGGCGTAGTGACCAGCCGATGACCAGTTAATGTTGTAGTGTGCAAGATCAGGTCAATTAATGACCCCTGCTGGAGTTTCAAGAGTTTAAACAGACTTTAGAATTCCTTCACTCTTATCTTCATCTCTGATAATTATTACTTTCATCTGTTTGATTGTATCTGTAAATTATCTGTATCATGCATGTTTTAACCTCCGAGCTAGGCACACGTCACTCGTACCTTCCAGTCTTAATACAGTTTAGAACCGAAGACAAGAGTTAATTATTATTTTCTCTATTGTATCCGGAGGCTGAAGGTAACACCCATGCAAAGATAAATGTCCAAGTCTTTTTGTAAAATCTTCGAAGTAGTAGACACTGCTGGTGGAATGAAAGTCTCCGAGGTTTGATGTAACTTGTATGCCACGTTGTAATTAATTCCAATTGTGGCACGTTTTAAAATATCATTTGACGATGTTCGTAAATTATTTGATAAAAGAAAATTACGACATTTGTTGTATTATGGGGCTGGTACACGTCCACATCTAGATTTTAACTTTTCTTGCGATTACTTTGCAATTTCCTTAGTCGCCTCCTAGACTTCAAAATTTAGGTCCTTAGCATCACTGACGACTCCCACGACGAAATAGCAGTATGCTGCAGTTAAAATTATTGTATTGCTGTTTTGTATCTTTCTCAAAATTTGTATTTGGATATGCCATTTATTTGTGTGCCCTTTGTACATTCTTGTGTATGTTTCTGCAGGTGACGTGTTGATATGGTGCGATGCTCAAACGGATGTTTACGAAAGCGTATATAGAAACGGCACAGGGAGAACTACATTGTTATCATTATCTGGCACTCACTGCTTTGCGTTTACCATCTACGAAGATTACTTATATGTTAATGACTGGTTGGTTTCGTAAGTACTCTAACAATTTATCAAAACCAACAAGTTCTAAATGTACAGGTTATAAAACCCGTTGTGTCTTGTAGAGTGAATCACTGTTAATGACCCAATCAATCTTGTAGAGTGAACCACTGTAAATGACCCCATCAATCTTGTAGAGTGAACCACTGTTAATGACCCCGTGTACCATGTAGAATGAACCTCTGCAAATGAACCCATCAACCTTGTAGAGTGAACCACTTATTAATGACCCCATGTACCTTGTAGAGTGAACCACCGTAAATGATCCCATGTACCTTGTAGAATGAACCACTGTAAATGACCCCATGTACGCTGGAGAGTGAACCACTGTTAATGAACCCGTGTACCATGTAGAATGAACCTCTGCAAATGAACCCATCAACCATTGTAGAGTGAACCACTGTTAATGACCACATGAACCTTGTAGAATTAACCTCTGCAAATGAACCAATCAACCTTGTAGAGTGAACCACTGTTAATGACCCAATGTACCTTGTTGAATGAACCACTGTTAATGACCACATGAACCTTGTAGAGTGAACCTCTGTTAATTTTTTTATGAGTAAATATATATTGCCTTGCTATTCTGCTGTGAGTGAATTGTACAGTTATTTCTGTATCCTACATTTTCCCTACGTACATAATTCTTACACAAAAGGAAAGTTGCAGAGTATATATAACTTCTTTGTTATATATATAATCAAAATATTCTTTGAATACATGTATGTTTACTCTTGTTTGATAATAACCTTTATTTAATCTAAACTTTCTCTTGCTGAGCTAAACATCTAGGAATTATCTCAAACAGTTTGCATATGACATATAACCTTGTAAACTATATTTATAGACATCGTACATTTTCATAACGGCTGACTTTAAAAACATCAAGAAAATACCAACATTTCTGCATAATATAATTCAAACTAAAATTCCATTAAACTAGGACAGAGTAAGAGTAGAGAAAGCGTCTTCTGCTTCACCGGCGACACATGTAAACGCTGGTCAATCCAAGTAAGTAATGTCACATTCTAAAATGAAAACAGGGTAAACAACAACGGAACAAGCAGGCAAACTAACGAGCATGAAACACGATAAACAACAACGGATCCAACAGTCAGACTAACGAGCATTAAACACGAGTGAGTATGAGAGATAGACTGAATGATAATTAGAGAAGATAAGGAAATAATGAAAGCAAGATGAAATATCTTCTTTACAGTGCAACATTGTGTAGAAGAATTTGATTCCATGGCTTCTAAACCTTGTATTCCACAAACTGATGCAAAATAAGGTATTCTTTAACCATAAAGATCAATATTCACTTGACGCCATCAGTTGACATGCCCGTTATATAAACAAACCAGAAATAAGCGCCATTTAAGGTATTGTGATTGGTACCCATCGTATGGTCATTAAGACGTGATTATCTTTGCACAGAAACGTCGATGTTTCACGACAAAATGACCTCTCCATTTAATGAATTACACTGTCGGTAATGAATATCTTAGTCTAGTTGAATCAAGTCTGGATGTGTTTGATACTAGTCTGCAGACTCCTTACCGTATTCGCCTTTGAAAACGTGACACTACTTACTTGGATTGATCAAGACCTACACGTTGGGTGTCGTCGATGTAACAGCAGATGCTTCATCTTTCGGAATATCTAGTATTTTACTTCTTGTTGTACGCTTTCAAAAGTCTGCTTGTAAATCTTTGTTTTGTCCATACTTTGATTAGTTTTATTGAATCTGAGTGTAGATCGTGATTATATTCAGATGTTGTTAAGACACTATAATAACGCTTAATATGGTTTTTGTTTGCAAAATTAATTCATTTTGGCCGTCAAATGTCATAACAAAGCAGTTCAATGCGCAAATCTAGCAAAATTTCTAGATCTGAATAAGTGATGTCTTAATCACTATGAAAAAAATGTCTTTTTTAAATTCGTTTACAGAAGAGTTATTCAAGTGAAAAAGGATGGGTCCAATGCTGTTACCTTTGGACCAGAGTTGTCCAAACGATATGGAATATTTCACTACATAAAAGGTAATATCAAATAAAGTGGTAAAGACGTCTTGTATTCGTTAAATATTTGTTCATGTGATAATTTCAGTCACAAAATTCTACTCATTTTACGGAAAATGTACTTGAAATTGTTACCTCCTTTAAAATGCATTGTGTGAAGAAGGAAACTTAATTATCATATCGCGTAAATGTTTCTTAAATGATAGTATTGTAAATTCATCGTATATAACGCGCGTCTTCAAATATAACATAATTCGCTGATGAATATTAATTTTATTGGAATTTGTATGTTAATTGAATTTCCATGTTTACTTATGATCTGATTCAATTATTTCATATTGACGAGAAGAATAAATATATGAAGAATATGATTACGTATATATGTATATGATTCATTCAAAGTAATTTACAATTCATATTTGTTGATTCTTATTCAAAGTAATTTACAATTTATATTTGTTGATTTTTATTCAAAGTAATTTACAATTTATATTTGTTGATTCTTTTTACCTTTGCTTCCATATCATGATTATGTATTTGCTTGCATGTGTGGCTTTGCATCGTAGTTTAATTTGATATTGGAAAGTGTCATAAGTTTATATTCTGTGTTAACTATATTAAAACATCACAATGGTCGTTATGAAAGATTAAAGGTAAGTTGCATTTCTTAATTAATGTGGAGCATTAAAATCATGACGAGGATTCGTGCAACATCTTAACGTGAGTGGGTTTTGTGATATATCATTCATTATTATTTTTCATCATTTTGTCCTGGCATATTAAGTGCAAAATGTATTGAAGGTATTTGGAGCAATTATTGACTTTTCATTTGATGACTATTACTTGTATGTTACTATATCTATCTTCCAACTTCACATCGATTTTCTGTCTTTTCTCTACAGATATGAATATTCAAATTCCCTCTGTTTTACATATATTGCATCACAATCAAACGTAATTGCAACTTAAAAAATATGTTTTGTCGTCATGCAAATATAGCTAGTACATTGTATGTAGATATTTTTCTTTCAATATGTCATTGTATGTTAAACTTATCTCTTTATATATATATATATATATGTGTGTGTGTGTGTGTGTGTGTGTGTTTATGTGTGTATGTATGTAAAGAAATTGTCGTTTTTATGTCATTGTATGAATACATTGTCTTTTTACATGAGATGAATGTTGACATGTCTTTTTGTGTCCTCTACCGAATGAGTAACATTTGTTATTATAATTAAAAATCACAAGCAATATTATTTTCCTAAAACAAATATAATACCTGACGGAGTCCTGGGAAGACATAAATGTAACTTGGAATCAAAGCAGGTAAGTAGTTATGTGAACAATTAATCAACACCGATCGATAGAAAGAGTTCTATCAAATGAAAACAGAAACAAAAATGATCAAGACAAAGTGAATCATCCATGCACATGTATATTATGAGAAACATTATCACATTGAGAATCAGATGACCAAGCACGTTTTAATAGTATCACTGTATTCATCCATATGTTCTAACCCTTTAGTGTAACGATATTCCGGAATTATAGATATACTGATAGTCTTATTACTTTGCTTCGACGTATTTTAATCTACGTGGTTGAAGTCACTTATCTCCTTCAGCATGGCGTCAATATTTACCTGTAACTAGAGGTGTAAGCTTTAATATACATATGTTTATTGGATCATGCACATGACTACTTGGCAAAAAAGGCTCACGTTTAAAATGATCCGAAGTTAACCGAATACACTTCTGTCATCGTGAATATGACGATTGTTTGTAAAGCTGTATTGCAAGGATAAGTTATGTAAGTAGTTTTGTTTCCTTTTCAGAATCGTTAGAAACATCTAGTAAAGATACTGTAGAAACGAGTCATGTAACAGGGTCCAACTGTTATGGAATGTAAGTATCAAATCATATTCAACGTGACCACAATGTTTCATGAGGTTTAATTGAAGGCTTGTACTCATGTTAAGAACATAATTATTAATCTAAATATGACGAAAAACTTGATTTGTTCAATAGTTATTGTTAATTACATTAAGTTATATATACAAGTACCTAAATTTTCAAGTTTCTCACATTCATAGATATTCCTATCAGACCTCGATTTATTTCTAATGCTCGTGTTTGGTTAAAATACTATTTTGTTTGTAATAATTACCCAACCTTGCTAATTATACAATGAAAGCATTTGTCCAAAATAACCCAGATATTTTTTTTTACTTCCAGTAACTGCTGCAATCACTCCATTCCCCATTACAAGGAGTCCGCGTTAGAACCGTCAATTGAGTCATCTGTTGTATTTATTGGTGTTTCGTAATAAAATTTGAGCTGATATATATATAATTTTTTTTCTCATATCATTATGATTTTGTTGTTAATTAGTAAAATCCTTTACGTAATAAACCATTCATGTTCTGCTTTGTATGTGATGTTAGAAGACGTCATATATGAAATTGAAAATCTCATTAAAGATCTAAATTAACAAGGTAAAGTTAACACAGCAATCTTTAGTGTACTGCCGGCACATATGTGCGCATGACGAAGTCGACAATGTATTTCTATTGATTGAGTCAATATTCTATCAAACTAAAGTTTCATCAATATAGACTGAGGACACTACAGTGTAAGTCAAATATCCTACGGAATATGTATGAACAAGAACTCATATTAACACTCATGTTATTATCTTGTCTATTCATATTAAAGTACATTTGATTTGTTCAACACATTGAGATATTTCCGCAGCGTGTTATCTAGGCATTCAATTCTTTTACTGCAGGATATTTAAAATCAATAGAATGTATATAGGTTAAGAATAGTGTCACCCAAAACCTTGAACAACAATTGAGTTTAATTACATACACAAACAAATTCTAACCGATAAATTTGGTTTGGTGTTATATCGACTTATGTTCTGTCAACAACCATGGTCATTTTAGGCATTAATTTAAATAAATTGTATAAATAGTTTTTATCCACATCCAAGATTTATATGAATTTTACCCGTTTTTCCAATTATGACCTTTGTAACGAATATCCTTATAATATACTGACATAAGTCTTCCAGCAAGCTAACGACTATTTTATTTCAGCTCTCACAATCTATCTATCAATATACATCAAACATTTTAAATCATAAATGTAAGAATATTTTAAATTATGTCAAGAAAAATGCTTTGTTACCAAATTCACTGTTAAAATATAGCTTTTTCGATCCATTTTTATTGATATCGTGTTACCATAACCTGTACAAAAAATTTAATAGTGAAACGTCCATTATCAAACGTATTCATTTTGTACTACTAAATCGCATTGAAAAAATATGTCAAGATTTTTATAGTCTACATATTTTGTTCCCCCAATACCCTTTGTTGCGTACTGTGTCGTTAACATATTAACTTATTTTATGTTAGTTATGATTACAACACATGACGAAAGTTACAGTATTAGAAAAAAAAAACAAAACAAAAACAAAACAAACATCCCCCCCCCAAAAAAAAAAAAAAAAAAAAAGAAACAAAAAAAAAATAAATAAATAAATAAATAAATAAACAAGCAATTAAAAAAATAAAACAATGTTTTATTTGGTAAAATTTATTCAGATTGTAAACATATTATTACCTGTAACTGATCTTTTTCCCATTTTCATTTCTTGCCAGTGACAATACACATTCAACTTTGCAAAAAAAAAAAAAAAAAAAAAAACACTTACTACCTTGCTTTGCTATTTAACACCACGAAAACGTTTCAAGAATGCATTTAAATATATCTGCTCCTGTGTCTAACCACGTGGCATTATACTGTGTTCTTTAAGGACCATAACTTGAAAACATTGTGATATAAAAAACATCTTAATATATTCAAAAGATCAAAAACGTGTTGAATTAGTGCACGTGATTATTTATCCTCATTGTAATTACTAATCGCTATAGGACGGCGATTGAGGAAAACTCGATCGAAAGAAAAGCCAAAATCTAGATGAGAAAATGCACAAGTGTGACGTGTCGTCTATGGTTCGACCCAGTCATCACTGGCGATTCCACCCCGAACGGAGTTTAACAATAATCTAGTAGAGCAAATATATACAAAATGAAATATATAGCCTTTTCTAGCTCAGGGACATTGCCTTTGTCTGAGCAATCACTTTCCGTGATCACGTACAACCTGTACTGAGAAATATATACAGGAAAAGAGTAACACTTAAGAAAAGAAAGAGCTAATTTAGATATATAGGGGAACAGAAAATAATAATTCAACAAAACCTACAGTGCGCCTACTTGTTGAAAACGTGACAGACAGCCTAACTACTGATCCGTTACCGTCTACAGCCCACGTGTTTACTAGACCGAGATAGCTTACACCCTTACTACCATGAGAATATAGACACCGACAGTACACCAATAATTGTCACGTACTCCTTACGTCTACACTATTCCCCCTATACCCAGATTCACACAGCCACACAGCATACACAGGACTGCATGTGAGCTGACCCTTGAGCTCCCTTCCTGCTCGAGTTTGTCATATATAACTCCCTTGGTGCTCCCCGCTAGCGTCCTTACTGAATGTATATTTGGGTATACGATGAAAATAGAAATGTAATTATATTACAACGGTCAAACCGTCTACAAAATATGGCAGTGAAAAAGGGAAAAGAAACCCCGTCCGTTCTCTCACGCGACACACAGCCAAACTCCCCTGTTAGAGAAAAACCAGAGGGCGACTTCCCATCCATACTATAAGACAAGTCGTCAGCATTTGTTATAACTAGCTTGGTTCCTAACCTTCTCAAAACGACCAGAACAGAAGGCCAGACACACCACGGTAACGGTGGCCTCCGGTCGATTGTTTCACATTACTAGGGGCCGGACAGAGAGGCCGAATTGCCGAGGACATCTCCCAATATAGAAATTGCAATTCGTCTTTACTGCCAAACACCGCACCTTAAACATTACACACGAGTTCCATCACACAAGCACCAATATTCAATAGATTTAGCAATTTTATATCTGGTAACTCTAGAACAACATTATGTACATGTGTATATTCCGAACCGTGCCAATGAGTTAATTAAAACGTGGTATACAGGTAAAGATTATGCAACTAACGGGCGTGTAGAAACGATAAAGATCCTTTAAGGTAAAATCTAGCCATACTAAGAAACTGACGGCAATGTTGGGGTGATATTGATTATAAGACTCTTTTCTATATGGGTATGTAGGATAGGGATATTCCACCCGAGGGGTCACAAAATGTGGTAGAGATCCGAGGGTGGAATATCCCTATCTTACATACCCATATAGAAAAGAGTTTTTTTTCTCTCATTTCTAATCTCACGCCTGTGTAATAAACGTCTATCATGACCATGTTTATTACCCTGGACAGGCCTATCTGACACAGGTGTAAATGAGAGAATACAGGAATACATATTAATTAGGATTGTGTTTTACACTCAAGTTTATGTCTCCGAGCGATATCGATGTAAATGATGGCGATGGCTGTCTTATTCCTTGAGCAGATTCGGTCACACTTAACTCTAGCGTTTATGTGAAAGTCTAACTGAACAGAAATCTGTAACGTAGGAAGTTGGTAAATGACGAATCGTGACCTTGGTGTTTACAATGATGTTTTATTACCGAATTTAATTAGTATATCTGTTATATAATTCTGAAAGGAACTGTTTTTTTTAGTTTGTGTATTTGCTGACGTGTGTACTTTGCATATAATACACTGCATGAATTCTAGCATTAACCCCAGCATAATCGGTATTGACAGTTTCTCACCATGTGTGACTTTACCCTGTGACAATCTCCCTTCGGTCTATCATGCCTCATTTCTAGAGACTGGAGGGCAGTATAAACTTCGCCATCAGCTTTAGGACCCGTCCTGTCCCGATTTCCTCTCCACCGACCTGCACTTCATGCCTCCGACATGAAAACTTTATCAATCACTAACTGCTTCTTGGGGTTAGTGAACTAAAAGGAAAATGTTTGTAATCGTTTTTGTCAAAAGAAAATAAGCGTGTGTGCTTTAGGCGACTGATTGTTGAGATATTGTTCTTAGTTTGAAACACAATCTCGGAAAGGGTTGATTTTCCACGTCTTCAATTCATTCTTATCTGACTGTGCGATTGAAATATTGTGGTTTGATAATTAACGAAGACTTTAGGCAACATTTCGTGAACACCCTCCTCCCCCTACTATATCATTTTATTACGAAGACCAATGTGAATGACAATTGTAACGGGACTATATCATTGTTGAGTACTTTTCAGTTATCATTATTTTTATATCAGAAGAAAAGTCGTCTACAGTCCTCTAATAATGAACCATGCATTATGAAGCAGAGTGAAATGAGAAGGTGAGAAGTAAAGTGTAAAATACCATAAATCATCTGATTACATTATAACTTCAAAGGTAGGTATGTAAAATGATGTTTCAATGCCGAATCAGGACACTTCACGTACGCATTTATAATATAGATGATAGATCATCACTTATTCTCAATATTTCCTAGTAATTATAACCAGTAGCCATACTGTCCCGAATGTTATTCATTTCTAACAGTTTGATTTCGTTTTTGATGAGTAATAAAATGTGAAGATTAAGTAAAAATAAAAGTAAAATAACTGTTAACCTACTAACGGTTTTATCACAATTACCCTTGCCCATTAATAGTCTTATCACAGTAGCTGTAAACATATTAACGGTTTTATCACGATAACCCTTACCCATTAAAAGTCTTATCACAGTAGCTGTAAACATATTAACGGTTTTATCACGATAACTCCAATACCATCATTAATGAATGACATTAAAAGACTGTCTCGACTTTAAACCCAAATCCTGCAACTAACTTTAAATGACTTCATGTCAAGTGCCTCCAAAACATATTGTATTCTTTTGCTGTTGCTCTCATAAGTTCCGTTGACTTGTGTATTAATGTGCTACTTGATGTCGTGTAAATAGAAAAAGATTATCAATGCTAAGAGTAATTTCACAAGATAATGTGACATGCACACTTATAGACAAAGGTAGACTTGTTTGTTTAGAAAATTGAAGGAATTAGGCCATTCAAAATCTGAAGAGACGGACCCTGTTGAAGAATTATTTCGCTTTACGACATATTTTCGAACAACAATAACATTTTTCGGAAAAAAATTTAGTGAGAAGATATAAATTTCCGTCTTGATGTTTTACGAAAGGAAAACCATTTTATACTTTAAATTATTCTTATAAATCATCCTTATATATCTGAACGCAATACACTTAATGTCTGCTATAAATAAAGGGGAAATGTGGCATCGCCACTCATATTGAAGACCGTATATCTCCAAGTTCGACCAGCGTTCTACCTGAACATTGCAATCGCGTAGGAAGCAACCTACATTTATTATGAAGTCAAACACAGTTCACGACTAGAGAGAGGAACAAGAAAAAGAAAATTATTTTGTTGATAAAGGAATGAAACCCTAAAAATCAAAAAGAAAAACTAGAACAAAAAGAAATACCAACATGTCAACATAGTAATAAAACAAACTCAAATTTAATAAAACTGAGGCAAAATATGAACTAAAGAATGATTAACGATGCCTCGTGAAGAAGGGAGAAGACTAGGTGTTCTGAAAGAGTGTCTTCTGCTTCATCGACGAAAATAATATAAAAATAATAATAAAAATAAAATATAGAAAATATCACAATTTTCATCAACCTGCATCTCTTGAAACCCTGTGTTACGAGTTTGTCCGTCAAAGAACAACTTCTAGCCCGAAAATTGCGATTATGGGAACAGGCCCTTGGATATCGGATCAACTACGACATGTAAACGCCATATGATACGGGCGCAGGGATATTGCTATATAGAAATGGAAAATTCACAAAAGGGGATTAAATGGAATCATCACGCTTATACAGTTTGGTGGAAAGTTATCCATGTCGATTTCGTTGTAGGAAAATATGAGATAAGCGGCTCATGCGGAAGAGTCTGTCATGTTCTTGGTTTTCAATTCTGGTGGGTATATACGATGGAGGTGGTCAATTGATTTTTTGTTATCTAAAGAAAAGACGTCATGAGTATATCGACTTTACAAGATATTTTTGACCAGCTTTGATAAGCTCTTCGATAAACTCAGCTTCGCATGAGAACAAATACAAGTCAGCGAATATAGGGGTACAAGTAGTTGCTACAGGTACGCCAATATCATACCATCAAACTCGATGAAGATGTTTTCAACCGGAAACCTGATCATATTTGTGATTTCGTCCTTCGTATCTTTTTGATTTGGACGTATTTTGCACTAAATTTAATACATTGTAGTTCACAACCTTATATTTGTACCGCCGTTCACCTTTCCTGGAAAAGAAAGCTCTCATAACAAGAGAACGAATCAGTAAGGATGGTCAGACAAACCACGCATTACAAAAACATCAAGTAGGTGAGAGATGCTTGTTTTGCTGCGTCCCATATACCGAATCTATGTCATAACTGTGCTCTAAAACAAAATATTCGTTGGTACCGTTTGTAAATATTAAGGTAAGGGGCAGGAAGAAACCGGAGTAAGGAATACCGTGCTACAAATCAATTATGTCAGTATGTTATCCATTTATCAATAGGTTTTAGAGTAAAACCTCATGAAAGGCTCTGGCTTGAAAGTAACAGCTTGTAATAGCTATCATTGTCACACGAAGCGGCCAACCTGTTAAGGATGAGATATGAAATTGTGATAAAGGTATTGCGTATGAAGTGTTGGTCTTATCGTATTGACTTAGATAGGAGACCTATATTACTATGAGCACCTGATATATTGGCATACAATGGGTTCTGTTAGGTACAGATGTGTTGTCACAGCAGGAATATCTGTGATTCTGCTGTGTTGTTTTTATATGTTTGGACATTACTATAATGATGGTGAGTACATTTTGCATATTTAAGCTCGCCAAACATACTGATAAATATTTACATCTTATCTATTGTCATATATGGGTACGTCGCAACGGTGATAATAACAATACTACATTACAGCAGGTATTTCAATACTGTCGAACATACCAGACAATTTTACCATAAAGTCGCATCATATCGAGGACGAGTACATGTTGCAGTAACATTAAATCAGACTCGATATACAGCAATGTCAATAGTCCGCTCTGTTCAATGAACATGGACAAATGATAGTGGACGTATATAGATAGGGTAAATCACAATTGATATACAACACACAATGAGTGCATCAGCGACAGAAGCCATTACACAGGATAACTGATGATTGCGTTTCTTGTAATTATTTTCGTATAACAGTAGTTCAAAATGTAAGTATAATTATTGTAAACTCTAAGATTGTCACAGAACATTCTGCGGGAGATATATCAGAAATGTTTTTAAAAAATCATACGGAAAGAAACTCATGTAAGATTTTCTATGTTTCCTGTGATTTTAAAGAGTTTATTATTAACGATAAAAACCGTCTTGTCATGTATCCTTGTGAAAGTATCTGTCATCAAATTCGTTTTCTAGGTATCAGTGTCCTCCTATACGTAATATCTTGATCAATCTTTTCATTGCCCTTAAAACTTCATTATCTTGTTTGTTATAGCTTACCTTTACGTAACTTTGATAAACGTGTGTTGTTATATCAGGATTGTTTAATACTGACATACAAAAATGATCCTGTATACTTGACCTGACCACCGTTACACCACGATAAAGCCTGGATAATGACTTACTAGATGAATGGAAATCAGTGTACATGACACGTGTCACTGATGTGATTCATGTGGACTACTGGAAAACATGATATTTTTAAGATGATTTTAATACAATTTAGCGGATTTTTTTGGATCTAGCAAATCGGTTTCAAGATCCAGGGTCCCAAGTGCGATACCATATTCAATCATCAATACTATTTCAAATATCAATAATGAAACTAAATCAGAACATCTCGAAACATGCAAATTCGAAAGGTAACAATACTTTTCTTCTCGGACAACTTCAAATTTAATGCTTGCCACATTTAAAGTCACTCGAATAGTGACAAGGTTCAGAAAATACACATGTACTTGTCGCTGTTGTAAAATGGTCTAATGTATGAAAATTACGAAATTTATCTAATTATGCTGCTTTTAACCTCCTCGTCTTGATCTGACTTTAGATATTCCTTTAACGCCTCTTAGGCTCCAAATTGTGTACCTTTAGAATCACTGACGAGTTCTAGAAGGAAGAACAAGCTATATGATGCAGTTTAATTCATTGTTTGGCTCTACTGTATCTCACTCTAAATTATGAAAATGTGCTATGCACTTGAATGTCTTTTGTACAATCTTCTGAATTATATCATTAGTTCTTTTTCCGTTATATTCTTATATATTCATGATTATGCTCTGAGGCTCTGTTTTTTACCATATGATATATATTTTTATATCTCTAGTGTGTTTCGATTGTCTTCCTTTATTTATCATTTTCTACAGATTTACTTATCATGTTTCAGACAAACACATGGTATTGAAAGAGAATCAGATCTCAGGACATCACATTGCCTACGATACTGGACTAAAGGATACATGGAATGATCGCATCCATCATTTACAGAAAGGATGTCACCAAAGTGGCAAAAAAGACAAATATAAAATCAAATATCAACAAACCCCTGGAATTTTCTTCCAGTCTATGAAACTAAATATAAGTGTTTGTAAAGTAGCAAAGGCAGGTAGCACGTTTTGGGCTATTGTGTTTTTAATTGTAGAAAAAGGTATGGCAGCTTCAAAGGCGTTTAGCATTCCAAGACATAAGATACATTCTATGAGCGGTGGACTTACCAAAAGGTTACCCACTGAACATGAACAACTGAAGACAAATGGTGTTGTCGTTTCCCGTGACCCATACTCAAGATTGTTTTCAGCGTTCATAGACAAATATTACTTATTAAGGTTTGTGCAGAATGCTAAATCACTGGCGAAATCCTTAGGAAAAGGATTTTTTATGACAGAAGTTGGTAAGTGTGGGTACAATGTTTCTTTTCAAGATTTCGTAGACAGTGTAACAACAACAGCTCTACAAGGAAGAGGTATCAACCGACATTGGAGTCCTGTTTACACCATGTGTAGAGTGTGTGACGTGGAATATCAATATGTCATACAACAGGAAACATTGACAAGGGATACAGAGTACATCATTAATCAGCTGGAGATAAGTAACGAAACAAAAACAACACTGACACGGATGTTTCACGGATCCGGTACGAATAAAACCATGGCGGGAGTGATAGAGACTATGTGGAGTGCTATTGACGGCCCCGCTATGAGAGCATGTTGCAGCAACAAACTTGCCTACTTCATGAAAATGTGGGAAGGATTCAAAATACAAGGCTACATTAGAACAAATATAGCATTTCCTTTATCAGCATTTCAAGGTAAAAACAGCGTTAACGTCAAAAACATTACAAATGCTGTTTTGAAGGCGATGAGTACTAACCCTTTATCAAGTACAGAACGAAAGACACAGCGAAGACAGGCTTTAGTTGATGCATATGTAGGTATGCCAAAACGTATCATCTCTCAGGTACAAGAAATGTACAAAATGGATTTTTATTTATTTGGTTATGATGTTAATCCACCCTCTTGAATGCTTACCAAGAATGGCATAGAAACAAACAAATGTTAAATACATGTCATAATGATGTGCTCGTATCTGTAGGCTTGCATTTTGTAAACCATGGTTTGAAACCTTTATACAAATACTAAAACGAAGTCACAGGATTGAAGCAATGCGACTGGTAGAACCCGGCAATGGTGATAGAAGAAAATAATTTACCCGTATTTCCTGCCCTTATATCTCTCTACCTCGATAAACACATCGTTTAAGTTTCCCTAGAGAATAATTGCAGGTTCACTTGGAATACATCATTATACCATATTTACTATACATTATGTGAATAAAAGGATTCATCAGCCTTAAATTAAAAAAACGTGCAAGTGAATACTGGAGAACTCGTATCAATCTAATGTTAAGTCAATAATCGTTCTATGATCAGACAGTCATATATCATACACTAATGCCTGTAGCACCATCTGAATCAAAACAAATGCGAAACATTTACACTAGTAAAGACAATGTTCAGTAGCTCCACCGGTATATTTGGAATGTTTCCATTTCAAAATTTCTGCTATCACTTCTCATAAATCGTAGCAAATAGTATATTACCCACAGATATGGAAGTCACAACACGGAATTCATGTGATGTCATTCGGGCAAAACGGTACAAGTACATTTGACCAATCAGAGAAGGGCAAAACAAGAGGTCGCACAATAAGGTATAGATGTAGTACTTCCCCATAATTTGTTATACTAGGCTTTTCCTCCACATAGTTTAGTAGTGTTGTTAATGATAGTTCAGCTGAAGATTGTCAATCACTACTTCTAAAGTCAATGCACTCAATGTTCTTTTTCTCATTGAAGCTGATTGTAAGTAATGCAGTTGTGAGAAAATCTTTGGAATGCCACATAAATGTTGTTTTTAACATTTTGCAGTTAAACGGGGAAATAAACGATGTGATTTAGTAAAGCCTTGGAATTTCTGTTTTTTTCCCCAAGTATACGTGTAACCGTAATTATTTTCTATTTCTTTTACGGCAAGATACAAAACGCATCAGCGCAGGGGAGGGGGATCATGCACATATTCCATCGGTGTCAAAAAAGTCTATTAGATGATCTGTTAAACAGCAAGTCAAGATATAAGAACGATTATCATATTAAATTTTGTAACAATAATACTAATGCGAGACACCAAACCTATATTTTCGTGACTTGGTCAGAGAATCAAATGGTTGCTGAAATACACAAGAGTTAAATTAATGCAAACCATAATTTGATTTCTAAGTGTTCATGTATATAAACATTTTTAAAGGAATACCCCAAGTGTACGAAGCTTTAGCGGAGAAGATCACTCCATCACACTGACACTAGAGAGAAGATTGTGAAAGATGATTTAACCACGTAACAATCTCAAACTCACTTTAAATAACTAGAAAGATCAAATACAGTGATGCGTTTTCAAATGCTACAAGTAGCTGTGGACGATTAATTTTCTACAAAGTGGTTAAATTTACATATTTTATAGCTAACCATATGGTGGAGATAAACATCACTTTGAGCGGATTTACAGGATAATAAGACATACACGTCTACACACACAGCATATGCCGCAGACATACTTAATAATACAGAAATATGTCACATTTTCTATCAGTGTGTGTACATTATAATTCGGATTGCGACATCGCCGAATGAAAAGTATACGTAAGTAAGTGCGCTTATCCTTTATTCTAAAAAGGATATTTTCTATCGTTGTCTTAGCTTTACAACGTGCTACTTTGATGTCATATTGATGGGTTTTCTGACAGTGAAGTAGATAATATCACATTCTTTTGATGGGACAAAACAAACTATATATATTTTTAGAAATCGATGTACACACGCATAGAGCATTTTATATAAGTCAAGGTATGATTGATAAAACATGGGCCATTAAAGATTGTACGCTTTTATTTTGGATTTGAATACGAACATTTTGCACAAAAAAATTATTTATTTTTATAAACAAATTACTCAGCTGTGTAAAGTGTTATCAATTTTAATACTTTCCAAATTAATTTCCGAAGTACATCAGTTTATATAAACGAGGGTTTGAATACTACTAGCGTGTGATTTCACTCGTCTTCAATGTGTTACTAAATATTACGTAACATGACCACGCCATTGTTCTCTTTTCTTTTTCCTTCCTCTTCTCCTTTTTACTAACTTAGCACATTGTTATCACTGTAATCAACGCAACATTAGTTCAGTGAACCGGAACACACTGGTATACATAGAAATAAGACTTTAGTGAAGTGTTTTGGTATTTCGATTCAGCTGAATGACTCGAGATGACACTAGAAAATGGTTGACTTGCAACTATATTATGGTACCTGACCTATTAACCCCTAGATGTGGCGGATGGGTTACCCGTGTTGGGGCTGTTCGTCCAGTCTTAAACTGGCCCCTGGTGATGGTGGTCGACTTCTATTCTTTAGATTTATTAAGAAAACGTTGCAAGGATTACCCTGCCATCGACATTGTGAATGGCTTGATATCCATGAGACCCTCTCCTAATCACATGAAATGACGACTTCCTACTTTTTTGACAAGATAATCTTGTGCTGAATGGTGATCAAATGCCTTAGCTTTAATTAAAGCACAGTTAATTTATAAATGCTATAGGCAATCTATATCCCGCCTACTTGATTTTCAATACATTACCAAGGTCGATTCATATCCAGTTGATTAAAAGAGATCATGACACAGGTAAAACATACGAATTGCAATGCCGTCTGAACCAAATGCTTGGTAAGAGGAGACTAGTTACGCAATCTAGCCTTTCTTTTCCCTCAACATTTTTTCCTTGCGTCTCCCTTGATACTGTTCGCACATACCAAAGGTTTTTAATTTGTATCTGCCACTACCACTAACGTTAAGCGTTGTAAAGTTTAAAAACTTGTTTTCCATTGTCACTCCATTATAATATAGGGATGCTCGTATGTATACTGAAATGTGGTATTGGTATAGAGCCGACTTGGATACCGTACCTTGTCAAGGAGGTTACAACAAGCATATCACATCCCCTCACAAAGACATGTACTCAACACATGCATTCATGTCGCTGACGCTAGCTGGTGATAGGACGTCAAGCCACATAAAACTGAAATAAACCTTACAAACGTGATTTGGCGACAAGCCAGTTTTGACTTTCTTCCCCAAACTAAACTTGACATTACATTTTAAGGCATTGTCTTCTCCAAAACCATGTTTCACTGAGAATGTAAAGTTAAGCTTACACATTTAGATTTTGAAACGAAAGATTTCAGATTTGACTGAGAATTGCCATATCAATGATTGTATAGCGTAATAGTTCTCCCTATAGCATGATTGGTTAGAGGCGACATAATAGGGCATCTAACATATTTCATTCTTTCTTAAAATTTTTTTTTCCTTCATGTCTTTACACTGTCTCCATTCTGGTTTCTAGTAGTAATTCGCAGCTGCGAGGAAGGTTTTGTCTTATCCCCTGGCCGAGATATATTATAGTCTTTAAAAAACAATAGTTATTTAGCAATTTGGTAGAGTAACGACCAGTTAGCCCGCTATCATTTTAATTTGACCGGGAAGGGTACATCCTGCAGTATACATCAGAATGGTAGCACTATAAAGTTGATTTCACCTCCGCATTATAACAATGATGATAAAAGAAAAGATAAAAGGAATCACATTGCTGACACTAACTGTTGATTGGGCGTTAAGCAATATGAAACCGAACCATCAAAACTGACCGGCATGACTTTTGACGAGCCTGTGGCGAGTCACGTTTTGCCCATCTGGTCTAAACCAAAACCAAGTTGTATGTATTTAAAGAGACTGACATAATCGTTACTGGTGTTTCATTTAGAGTGTGTTTGTGCGTTGATTATGAAACGATAGCTCAAAATCAAGAAATATGGAGCTTTGAAGGTGGTATTTGACCTGACTTTCGTTAATGAGATGCCGTTAGATTTCTGCCTTATAGAGCCCCCTATTGACAATTGAAATGCCTACCCTAGTTTTATGTAATGATGATTTTGTTGCCAGAAAACGTAGAGCCATACGCATTGCAAATGCCTTGTTATCGAATAGACCCTACTATCCAGTAATTAATCATATGAAATAACGGCTTCTATTACTTTATCCAACATAATCTGAGACCAAGTGATAATTAGGTATACCTTCGTGTTCAGTATGACATAATTACTGAATTAATAACTACATGACGTACACTACGGTCAACTCGGCTACATGGGCTAGAGTATTTAATTATTTACAGAGTCAATACACATCCAATCAAAACTGACAATGATGCAGCAGGTAAGACGTACAATTTTGCTGCATAATTGTTAAGAGGCGACTAAATATGACTTATGATCTCTCTCTCTCTCTCTCTCTCTCTCTCTCTCTCTCTCTCTCTCTCTCTCTCTCTCACACACACACACACACACACACACAAACACTCTCTCTCTCTCACTCACTCTCTCTCTCTCTCTCTCTCTCTCTCTCTCTCTCTCTCTCTCTCTCTCTCTCTCTCTCTCTCTCTCTCTCTCTCTCTCTCTCTCTCTCTCTCTCTCTCTCTCTCTCTCTCTCTCTCTCTCTTTTTCAGGTGCGAGGACGGCTTTGACTTATGTCCCTTGGTTATGTCCCTTTATTCTTAGTATCATGGCAGTGTAAAGACTGGTTGCTTTTTACATAATGTGACCGAGTGCTTCGGGCCTCTAATAGAGGCTAGAAAGCACAATAGCCTCCCATAAATTGGACGTTAACTTAAACCAAGTGATGCAGGTTTATTTTAATGTGTGTCTGATTCCTTTTGGTATATTTACAACTGAAATATGTTTAAATCAAATAAAACCATATGAAATTTGACCAGCGCCACTTATTTTTAATAGATGCATCCCTTCCGCAAGGGAGTTAATTTTGTACGCTCTCTTGCAGATCATTATACATGTATATGTACATAGTGTATTCAGTAAAGGAATCATTGATGCAATGTGTTTTATGAAGTG